TGGAATAGTAGCTTATACATTAGATGAACAATTGTAATCTTTACCCTAACCCAGAAAAGCAAAAAGCAGAAACAAGGCTCTTTCATTTTCCCTTCTATTACCAAATAAGATGCTATTGAAATAGAGCTAAACCAGTTCCTTCAGCTTCTTGTCAGCGAGTTGCTGTTCAATGAGTATTATGACCAGCTAGCTCGTCAGATACCCCTCTGGAAGCTCAGAATGTGAAGATAAAAGAAAATAAAAAGAATAAAGAAAAGCATAAACATTAAGTCCAGTGAATAGGGGACACCAAAGAAATACTACAGATTCATCAAACTGCTGTCTACTTTACCCACCTCAGTATAGTGGTGCATAACACCGTATATAGCAATCACTTAGCTTTCACTGTAATATCAGACACAGTTTATCGGAAGGCATTGGAGTGTAAAAGAGAACCATAGCCCATACCTTATTTCCTTCACATACTTGGTGATCTGGTTCATATTGGTTTTCCTTCCTATGGTATCCCTCCATGCAGCACCCATACAAAAACGAGTGCTTCCTGCCTCTTTTGCCTGTCAACACATAATAGCTAAAATACATTTAAAAGGAGATTGAACCTCATTGTATGTTATGTATAACACTGCCAAAAGAAATCTAATTGATTGAGATAATTAATTTTTACTGCATATATTGGTCATATTTATACATCTATAGGTTGGCCTATTACGTGTTAACTTTGTTAGCCGCAGTGGTAAAAGGGGCAGAATCTAGGTAACCTTAGATTTTTTAGAAATCATAACTTCCTCAGATGCAGTAGTATTTTATTAAAGGTGACCAATTTCAGGAGGAACTCCTCCCATAGAAGTGGGATCAATGTATCTACATCGTCTAGCCATTTTCACCCTCCAATATCAGGCCAAGGAATAAATAATGTCTACTCATGCTTAAGGATAAAATATTCCACCAAGAGAAACAGAACAGAGCACCTTTCTTGCTGCTTCAAGAACAGCATCCTCATTCATAAGTTTTTGTGCTTTCAGTCCTGTATCGTATCGAGATGATTGAGGACAATATGAACAATCTTCACTGCATCCCCCTGTCTTAATAGACAGCAAAGTACACTGCTGTACTTCTCTAAAGTTATGAGAATGTCTATGTACTTGAGCCTGTAAAAATATTTTTTCAACGAAGAAAAGAAAATATCAAAAACCAGATAGAGGGTCTCACAAGAACTTAAGTAAAACGATTAAGGAGCAACCTCCAAAGTAACTAGAAATGATAATTGAAAAATGCATTTTTCAGGTTGTTCTGGAATGAATGACAAAAAGTTCAGGTCACTGAGGTGTGGAATGGATGAAAATGTTTTCCGCGAATTCATTTTTACCTTGGGAATAATTCTTTTTACCGTGGAAAATAATTTCTGAAGCATTTTCCATTATTTGGTCGGACAAAACGCAGATTGGCATAGGATAGTTGTAAAAGAAGTAGCCCCGAGTATAAGGATTGTGTTACGCATTTTTAAGTTATAGATTGACAACAATGTCTAAATGTTGATTGAAGTAAATATATGTAGTAGGAATCAAGATATTTGTAAATCAATGTATTTACTTCAATGTATATAAATCAATGAATCGATGTATTTGATATGACATTGATTTACAATGTATTTGATATGACGAAGGGGAGCCTTGGCGTAACGGGTAAAGTTGCGGCCATGTGACCAGGAGGTCACGGGTTCGAGCTGTGGAAACAGTCTCTTGCAGAAATGCAGGGTAAGGCTGAGTACAATAGACCCTTATGGTCCGGCCCTTCCCGGACCACGTGCATAGCGGGAGCTTAGTGCACCGGGCTGCTCTTTATTTATTGGATATGACGGAGAATGTTTTCCTCAAAAATGTTCTTTTTTCAAGGAAAATGTCTTCCACCACAATTGAGAAAATGACTTCCCGCACCTATTTTGTAATTTTTCTTTACAAATTTCTCAACTGATTCAATCTCATTGTATAAATCAACACCTAGACATTGTAAAAAAAGTTTACTAGTACCTAAAAGTATTATCAAAACATTGTTTCTATAACTTCTATATCCAACCAAACACTGAAAAATGATCCTGAGAATTATTTCCTAAGGGGACACGGTTTCCTCCATACCAAATGCACCAAACACGCCTTAAAAAACTAAAAATCATACTGTAAATTAGCACAAAGTTAACCACGTCAAGGGAAAATTAAAGCAAAACCAGTCAGGCTAAACTTCAGAGGAAAAAACAAAATAGAATAAAAAAACTAATTTGATAGCTTATTTATGATTAAAAATGTACGGTCAACACTCAATTCATCAGCATTAGTAGGAGTTTTCTTTAGAAAGACCCAAAATAAAATCAATGCAGGAAAATCCTAGTAACTCAAATGATTCAAAAATGGAAAATTCGTACACAAAATTGTCAGTAAACAGGAGAGAGGTAAAAAAGAAAAAGAATACGGACGCCATGAAAAAGGAGATCGAGGAGTGGGGAGTCGTAAATAGACTTGATTTCATCTCTGCTCCAGTCATTTCTAGGCCCTTCCCTTATACAGCGCTCCGCTTCTACAGCAGCTGCTGAAGCTGATAATGAGGAATAATTCGGTGCGCGCGACTGCAGTAGAACCAACGACGATAACGGCCGTCGAATCGATCGAAGCCACATCATCGTCTTCAGTAACGACGATAACGGCCGACGAATACACAACAGTGGCAGCTCTCTCTCTCTCTCTATATATATTTGCTATCTGCTGCTTTGGAAGTTCCGCTGTGTTGTTGTTAGCACTGATTTTAATAGAGTGGGTTGTGGTTTAGGTGGGATTGTATTGTACTTTGTGCATCTTTTGTTGTGACGTTCTCTTCTTTTGTCGTTTCTTTTTTAAATTTACTCAAACGAACCAAACTTTGGTTTTCGTTTCTCAGAACATAAATCAAGTTTTGTTTTATTTACTGAAAATGATACTTTCTGCCGTCCTAAACTAAGTTTGCTAAATTAAAGCAACTTGGTTTATGTTCAACAAAAGTTTGAGAACAATAATGCACTTTTGTACTTGTAATGTCTGAGTTAGTTCTACTCGTCTTATTTAATTTTCTTAATTCCCACCCGATAAAATTCACATAATATCGTCTCATCAAACATTTGTTTACATAATTATCAATCCAATTCTTAGACCACTAGTTCGCCTCCATAGGAGCTACTGTTACATTTGAGTTTATTAGAGATATAAAATAACAATAAGTGAGAGACATATAAAGGGTAAAAACAGTCGCTTAAAACATACTAGTATAGTTTTAATTTGTAAAAAATTAGGAAACGGGTCATTTTTGTCTGGACATACTAAAAGAAGGTCGGTGAAAGGTGATGCTTATATTTCTTGGTTGAAAGTAAAAGTGATGAGAAAAATTAAAAGGGAGTGGTGCACTACAATTAGCATTCCCAGCCCTTCTAATCAACTATAAAAACAATTAAAGAGGATGAATAATACTTCAAACTAGATTAACAAATCATACTCCCACTTCCACTTGATTATCAAATACAGTACAGTTTGAAGGTCAAAGAGGGGGAGGAACATCATTTATGATAAATCCAATATACAAGGAGGGATATACAAGCTGGTTTCTCTTCAACAGAACTTCTCTTTATTGGTTGAACAAGGAGGGATGTCACTCTTACATGGAATACCTTGACAGGAAAGCTTAACATATCCACCACGAGCAAAATAATAGATTGGCAGTGCCAGTATTTGTTGTGCTTTTTCAGCATCTGAGAAATCACAGATGATCAACGACCATGCTGAACTGAATAGGTGTAAACTCATATTTTCCAACTGGAGCTCCGGTACAACGTGTGCTAGACATGAAGCCTCCCGAAGCAATCTAACGAGTTCAAGTGCGCCTTTCTCAAGGATGGGCTTCACATAGTTCTCTTATTTCCCAAACAAAGACCTTCAATTCATGCAGTGATATTATTAATCCCAGATAAGCTAAAAAATCTGCAATTCAGGTAAATGTTACAATTCATAGGTTTAGTTGGTGGAAGACGAGAAGGTGCCTCAAGTGTATATGATCACAATAATACTGATGCACATTTTAAGGAAAGAACTGTATACATCATGTGGCATCAATTCTAATGCAAATCGACAACAGATTGATGAACTCTCTTAACACTTTAAACTAGAAATTACACCTCCATTATAATTTGCAGAAAGGCCACTTTACAGATGCAGATAAAAAAGATTTCAGAGTCTGTCGGCACAGCCAAAATGTTCCTAATCCATAGGTAAATCTATCAGTATATAAACTTTTTTGCAAATTAGTTTTCATTTTGTGATGCCTAAGATATTTATACTTGTTTGCTGCTGACACCTTAAAGAATTTAAGGCGTCCTAAAACAGACAAGCAGCAAGCACCACTAGTATGAACAATTAAATCATCACAATTGACAACCATAAACTTTTCAAAATAATATGACCCAAGGATATAGTTCATCAGTCCTTGAAACTGAATGAAGAACACTGATAAATGGATTTGAATATCAACACAAGAAAGAGAAGAAAAAAAAAAAGCGCTGTGATTTCTTCCCATATATATACCTAAGCTTTGGTGAGCCAAGTTACCCATATCCTCGCAAGTTGGCCCAGATACTACCATTGTTCTCCCAGAGAAGAAAACATAATGATGTTCATAAGTCAAATGTGTAGTTTTTCAGCATTGAAACTCTGATAGGTCTCATTACCAAATTTCTTGCCGCGAATTAATGATAGTAACAGGTAATAAACGATACTTTCTGAAGAAATAGACAGACTTCATGAACAGGCCTTACTAAGAAGGTCTACTAGTTCAAGTTAAATGCCCAACTGCCGCTGTTACATGAATTGCATTAGGCAGTCAATGCCTCTCCTACAAGTTGGCAAACTAATTAAAGGAAAAATGAAAAGTGATCAAACTTCTTCAACAAGAATAATACAATTAAAAACGACAATGACGACAGCAATAACTGTTTGACAAGCAATGTATCAAGACACTTACCAGGAGCTAAAAGCAGTTTGGCCTTCAATCCATGCAACGTAGATTTACCTTCGGTCAAAACAGCACAAAACTTTCCTTGATAAAGAGCAGAAACCACATCACCAGCTCTTAGATTGACTTTTCCAGCCATGAGGAAGCAGCTTAATGAAGTCATTCCAGGATTATGAGAGTATGCCTTTGCTAGATTTTCTATATATTATAATACTGGAGGAGAAAATTTTGTTAACCTGTTCTTCAGTAAAAGTGAACTTTATGTATGAAACAGCTAGAATATTCCAAAAGGTTATTCAATCCCCGGGAACGGGCTTCAGCATCAATGATGTCAGGATCTCGCTTTAGGTCATTACATTTGGTGTATCAGGAAACAAAATTCTCTATAGTTATCCAAGGCGAGACTCCAAGCTGTAAAATTGTTTCAATGATCCCACAAGATAGTCCATGGAAGACCATTGGTGCTGGTGCATTTCCAGCACTTCTCTAGATTATGTGTTTCTAGTGTTTCCATCCACCTAAAGATAAATATACTCATGATCTGTGATCTGAGACTGAGAGTGTGAACCTCAGTCAGAATTTACAAAAGGAAGAAGGCTGTGGAGGTTCACGCGATGGATGTAGTATGCCATGACAACCTTACTGAGAAGCTGGTATTTTCTCCAACTTCAAAGTGTATGGCTTCATTATTAACATTGAAAACCTATAAGATTCCAGAAGTTTTGCTTTCGCTGAAACAGAAAAGAAAGATTGGACAAGTTTGACAGGCCAATAGCCATCCAATCAATCATGGAAAAAACTAAAGGGACAAACTTCCTCTTAGCTGGAGGGATTAACGCAACCAGAGCCAGGTGTAGAATGTCTTCCATAGATTATGTCCTTATTTAGGGATCCTTTTTCTTTCAGACTTTAGGCTTTATGAACTGTTGTGATTTTTATAAATCCTTTGGTCTTCAATTCATTGTTTTGTCCTCCACTGTTGTTTCATTCTTATTTTATTGTCATCCACAGTCGTTTCGTTTGTTCTCACTTTGGTTCTTGCCCGAGTCCACACTCAGCGCCCTTCATAACAGAAGAATGACAGCAGAGAGTCTAGCTCAGCTCACAAATTTCCCAACAAGCTTAACACGATAGCCTTGTGCAATCATTTTGGATCCTAAGTACCCTTTAACAGAGGCCTCACCTTGAAATTTTGGTTGTAAAGTTCCATAGAGATTTTAAAAGATTTCTGATAGATAATAAGGAATTACTTGTTAAAAAAAAATTCCACTTGATTAAGTATTAGTAAAAGATTGGCAGCATTTAGAATTTAGAAAAAAGGAGAAAGGGAACTTAATAGTGCATCAACTAATGATATTAAATTTCAGAATTCATAATAGATACAAATTACTGCATTATTAATGTTACAGAATCTGGTAAATTTGATCCCAATGTAAAAGTTGTTACGCTAGCTTTTGATAGAAATCCATGATAGGATTACAATCAACATGGTGAGAAATCCTCCAAACCTCAACCATCTCATTAATTGAAATTTGTTGCCAAGCATGTGGTGTACAGACAAAAATCCAGGTATCATAAATTGCACCTCTTAGCTAAAATCTATTTGCACGGAAAATTAAGGGCTCGATTTTGAACTAACATGTACTTAACCAAGGAAATGAACACATTATGAGATACTTATCTTCTTAAATCTGTACACAAGAGACTCTATTGACTTTTGTATCCTGGAGTTTTCTGTTTGTTTCACTGCCTCAGAAGCCTGATGTAAACTTTGGATTCCACGACCCAAACTGGCAATTGAAGGAGCTGCTGGAAGAGATTCAGCAGCACATTCTATTCCATCTCCATAGACAAGCAAGCTTGCACAAGTGGCTACACTGCACCCAAAGGTAGCCCATGGCAGAAAGCCAACTGGTCGTACTCGGCGTTTCCTCATAATTTCATAGAAAGCCGTTCTCATGGCTGAGAGGCTAGTTTTCTCTGCAGAGGCTATAACTCCGTGAGCCACGGCACGAATTTTCTCCGCTGAGGCAGTTGCCTTAAGGACAGATGATTTCACACCAGAACTTGCCATTCCAGGGGCTACCACGTTTGACTTCCCAAATGCAAGAGCAAGGGCCTTTTGAGTTTGAGTAATCATGAGTTTCAGAGAAGCAGGGACTTTGAAGGTAACAACCTTCACTATTGTAGATGCAGGAACAACTTTAGAAAACGAAGAAGCTCCTAAAACTGCTGTTGCACCAGCCCCAACAGCTACCACTGGCTTAACAGCTAATAACCCTTTTCTGTCACTTCGATTCGAGTTGTCCCCATCGCTTTCAGAGTCAGTGACCAGCTGCTCAACAATTTCCTTAACTTCCTCAGGTATAATAATTTTCCAGTGCTTCCTTAGTCCAGCTAAGCCACTGGCATCTACTACTGCAACTATTGATTTGAACTTCTCGGCCTGGGTTCGGAGGGCCTGTGCAAGAAGGGCGTGCGACTTGTCCTCAGTAGAAAGCTCAGAAAATTCAGTTGTATGATACCCCATTTTACTAAGAGGGAGCCGACCAGCATTATTTAAAGCTATTCTCAATCCTTCGACTGCAATCTTGAAGACATAAACCTCAGAAAGGAGATTCGTATCAACAGCATTTCCATTGCAAACATCATTAAACATCTTCTGAGCACAAGCTAGAGCTCTTCCTATTGAGGGAATATCAACAAAGATATCATGTAGATCAGACAGCAATGGATAAACAGACTGTGCAAACTGTGGTACTTGATAATTCAACTGCAGCGGAACATCCTCAGACCCCATCTTTAGCAAGGAACCTGAATTGACCAAATGCGACGACAACAACCTCACCATTTGAGACTGAACATCATTCGTAACAGAAAATGCACGCGAATTTGCTGACACCAATAACCCCGTTCTTAGAGGAACCAGACTATTACCAGCCTCTAAACCAAACACTCCAAACCTATTCTCGTACCCCTCGTCCCCCACATTAGAACACTCATTAGACGCGCTGCATTTAACAAAAGGTGACTCGAGCAACAAGAAAGACGAACCAACTTCTTCAGCTGCTTTCTTAGCAGCAGATAAATGCCCATCAAACCCAACACCAAATATCTCCCTCAAAACAACCCGCCCCGCAACATTCTCATACTTATCCTTATTAATTTTATGCACAAAACACCTCTTCAACACCTCAATCGATGAAGTCGGTACCGAATCCTCCTCCTCCTCCTCAAAATTACCACTATTACTCAACAAAAGTTCCTCTTTTTGATCACCATCTACTGAATTACCCACTTGGACGACTACAGCCTCAGGCTTAACTTCTCTAATTAAACACTGGGCATCTACAGCAGACCGCTCAGATAAATTCTGAACACACAATACGTATATTACAGCCTGTGATTCGGGCTCTCGAATCGCGTAAACAAACTGTTTTGTGTTTTCGGGTACTGATAATTTCCTAACTAACCCGTCAGAAATTCTCAAATCATCGGGTTTTATTACAGAAAAAGGCCACAGATTTTGCAAATAGCTTAAACCCCACATGGTCTTTGATAGCTAATGCCCCTTTTACAGCTATTATATGTAAGTCTAATTACATTTGAGAAACAACGAATAGACTCAATAATGGATTACGTATACACAAAAGGGCTAAAAAGGGTGTATGTAAATGGAAGAAACGGAAGAAGAGAGAGAATTGAAGAAGGGTTACCTGGCGTTGATGTCAAACTTTTTTGTGTTTCAGCTGTCTATTTTAAGGGGTGAAATTATCTAATTAAATTAAGGAATATTTCGCCAAATAAACTAATATTAAATGGATAACCAATAGGGATTAAACATAAAGTTGTCCAGAGTTTACTAGATCTTTTTACCTTTCAATGACTTACCTCTATAAATACTTATTATCCTTGGTCAAGTAAATATAATTAAAATGTTTTAATTATCATATTGTAAAAATCAATTAAATGTCACTTTGGAATATTTTAGAGTTTCAATTCCTCACAACTAACTTTGATCTCTAGTTATATCAGGTAACTTTTCTTTATCAATTCTTTTATTATTTTGAACTTTATCTTTGTTCTCATTTTATCACTAAACCTTTTGTTAATATCGATCTCTTAATACTTAAGTTATGGAGTAATAACATTTAAGGTATACTATGAGCTATGTTTTGAACCGGAACAACAATTTAAACATAGCTTAAGCAATGAAAGATTATATTTTCGATAGATTATTTTAAGTTGTGAAATATAATAATTCACTATTTTAAGTCCCAAAGAAGAAGTTCCAATGCTACAAAATACATAAACAAAAAAGTTCTCAAACTATTTTGCTTCATATTTGACAGTAATATGAAACAAAATGGCATCTGTTGCAATAGATATTCAAAACGGAAACTTGCCAAATTTTATGATACATAAATAATTCTATTTTTATAACCTCGTGTCAAAACTAATGATTGTTTTCACTATATAAAATTTCAAATATTAATGCTTCAAAGATGTATTTTAACAAGTTAACTTAATCAATAAGATTTAGACTTTTCCAAACAAATTGGGTCGTTACATTTACGAAGGTTAAGAAACTTAGCTCAAAGTAATAATATGAAACAAGCAAATAATATAGAGAGAAAAAGATGAGAGATTCTTATTTCTTCAATGTATTCAAGTGTGTACAATGTGATATCCAAATCCTCTATTTATAGGATGACATTGAGGTAATACAAAGTGATGTCATGTACATGTATTAACTATTGAGAACATGGGGGAAGATCATGGGGAGGTTGGAGGTGTGGGAGTTACAACTATAATGGTGAGAAGTAGTGGGATTATCTACATAATGGAGAAGAGTAGTGGGAGTTATATTTGATTAGTGGACATCCATATAATATATATTTCATAACACTCACCCTTGGATGTCCAAAGATCATGTGCCTCATTAAAACCTTACTAAGAAAAAACCATGTGGGATAAAATCTTAGTGAAGGAAAAAGAGTACACATATCTTGTAATACGCATTATTTGTTGCCTCATTAAAAACCTTGCCAGAAAAACCATGTGGAATAAAATCTTAGCTAAGGGAAAAAGAGTACAACGCGTATTTGCCTCCCCCTGATGAAAACATCAATTTGTTTCCCGAGATGACGTGTTCCGATCTTGTATACCACCTTCTCAAATGTTGAGGTTGCTCATGCTTCACTGAACAGAACACAAAATTATCAAGCGAACAAATTTGTTGAACATCTATTTCACCGTTCGGTGAAAATTGTGTCTGATAAAGAACTTTGATGAAATATATGCTCTATTCTGTCTCCTTCAATATATCCTTCTTTCAATAGAGATAAACAAATATCACCGCCTTCATTGTTATTGGAATCTTCTCTTCAAGGAAAAGTCACACATCTGTTGTGTGTTGAGTCATTTGCTTTATCAGTTGCTAGTATATTGACATGACTTGGATAAGTATCAACAGTTGACTGCCTTGTGAAATAATAATATGGCATTACCCTCACATACAAATAGATTGCTTGAAAAACGAATTTTAGAAAATGTCTGCATTTGCATAACCAACAAAACCTTGATAATATTTGTTAGAATAAACAAATCTATATCAAAGATTCCTTTTGCAATATAACATTAATCATATTTCAATATACATAGGAGTAAAACTATATCTCGCTAGAATATTGTTATACTTATGGTTCTAGCAAGATACATTAGTGCACCAATTGCACTAGACACAAAACAAATCATGTACACCATGATTACTCTAATCCACATAAGGATCTGCCAAAACTTTATTAAATAAATTTCTTGATCTTTATATTTCGGAACAATTTAAATCCTTCAAGGATTTTCATTATACGCATATCAAGTTTTTCATGTATTTCTAAATTAAAACCTGAAAAGGATTTCATCCACCATAGGACAACATATCTCAATATATAACTAATGCCGGAATATTTACGAAAAATCTTGTGCTACAAGTCGTCTTTATGCCTATCGACTTGATTTTTCATTTCACTTTCAGGTGTTGGGACTATCCATCCAACTTCACATTTTTCAGGTGAAGTCAATTTTCATTGCGTATTTCTCATTTGGCCAATCATTTATCTGCCCAAATTCCATGACAGATTTGAGCTCAAGATCCTCGTCAATATTAATAATATCGAATGCTACATTATATCAACAATATTGTCAACGATCATTTTATATTGGTTCCATCGCCACTCAATAAAGACATAACTTATGGATCTCAATAGTTTCAGGTACCTGATTGTCACGACGCCAAACCGGAACCGGTCGTGATGGCGCCTTTCGTGAAACAAGGCCAGCCGACACAAACCCCCAAAACCAATTAACAGTTATAATAATTCATAAGCAGTTATTAATAAGTGATGAATCCCAAAGCAGAATGAACTAAAAGAAAATGCGGAAACAAAACACAGCCCGATATCGGGGTGTCACCAGTCATGAGTATCTAATATCCGTCTAAGAGTACGAAAAGACAACATAGTCTATTACGAAACTAGGACAAATGAAATAAAAGTAGGAAGGAGACGCACTGGGCTGCAAACGCCGAGCAGCTACCTAGTCAACTCCGAATAAGCCTGCTGGAAGCAAATCAACCCTCGCTAGCGTAACCTGAGACTCCTGAATCTGCACACAGAGGTGCAGGGAGTAATGTGAGTATGCCAACTTAGTAAGTAATAAAAGTAAAGGCAGCTGAGCGATAAGAAAACACGTAAATACACAGCAAAATGCTACAGCGACGCAATGTAAACCAGCACAATACAGTAAACAGTAAGAACTCATAAAAACTTCTCAATTCAGTAAAACCATTTTTAAAACATCTTTTAGCAGTTCAAACGAGTGAATAAAAACCAGTATAAAATATAGTAAAACACAAAACAACCCCTCGGGCAAAAATACCAATAGAACCAGCCCCTCGGGCTATCTCAAATCACTCATATCAGCCCCTCGGGCAACAACATGGAACAACATCAGCCCCTCGGGCTATATCACATCACAAACTGGGTACCCGCGCTTAATGGGGGTGTAAAGACTCCGGGAGGGGCCCCTTACGGCCCAAGCGCAATAATAAGCCATCTCGTGGCATAATCAACAGGCTCTCGGCCTCATATAAATCACAATCAGTACCACATGCTGCGGCATGAAGCCTGATCCAATAGTATCCTCACAACACAGGCCCTCGGCCTTAATCAGTCAGAATCTCACAAGCCACGCGGGCAACAGTAAAACATGATGCTCAGCCCAAAAAAAAATAATATTTAAAATATCAAAACGAGTAAAGATGGCTGAGTTGTGAAAAACAGTAGAATATAGCATGACTGATTACAAATACTAAGTCAAAATAGTGAGGAAAGGCAGTAAAAATCCAGGCACGAGGCCCAAATATGGCATTCAGCCCAAAGCATGATAATAGCAAACAGCTCTCAATCAAATATGCAATTAAACAGTCATATGGGATGGACTAAGTCATAATCCCCAATAGTGCACGACCCCACGCTCGTCACCTAGCGTGTGCGTCGCCTCAAAATAGCACAATGATGTGAATTTCGGGGTTTCATACCCTCAGAACAACATTTACAATCATTACTTACCTCTATCCGGTCCAATCTCTAGCCCGCGATGCCTTTGCCTCTCGTCTCGGCCTCAACTCGCGTCGAATCTAACAAAAAATCAGAATCATGACGTCAAAATATGCTAAGGGAACGAAGCCCATGCAAAAATAACGAAATTACGACACGAATCCCGAAATTAACCAAACCCGACCCCCGGGCTCACGTCTCGGAATCCGACAAAACTAACATCAATGGAACTCTCATCTTCTCACGAGTTCGTGCATATCAAATACTTCAAAATCCGACCACAAATGGCCCCTCAAATCCCTAGATTTAGGTCTCTAATTCCCAAGCCCTAACTTCAAATTTTCATGCTTATTTTTCACAATTTCCATGATTAATTAGGTAGAAATCACATTAGGATTGAGAATTAAGTCCATAAATCTTACCTCCAAGTGTTCCTCCTTGATTTCCTCTTCAATCCTCTTCAAAAATCTCTAAAAACGCACAAAAATAGTGGAACTTAGGCTAAAAGTCGCGGAATAGGCCTTTTAAATCATTCTACCCAGCTATTCAAAAAAACCCCTTTGCGAACGCGGTCAATGCCTCGCGTTCGCGAAGCACAAACTTAAGTTGACCAAAATTCCTCTTACGCAAACGCGACGACCCCTTGCGAACGCGATGCCTCAGCAACTCAAACCATCGCGAACGCGTCTGCTCTCTCGCGAACGGGATGCTTCCTGACTCCAACCCTTCGCGAACGCAAAGGAAAAATCTCCAGCCTCTCATCCTAACCCTTCGCGAACGCGAGGGCCCACTCGCAAACGCGAAGGCCAAAAGTCTGCAACACTCACAGCAAATTTTCTGCAAATTTTCTCAACTTGAAATGATCCGTTTAACCACCCGAAACTCACCCAAGGCCCTCGGGACCTCAACCAAACATGCCAACCTATCCCATAACATCATTCAAACTTGTTCCAACTTTCGGAACGCTCAAAACAACATCAAAACACCAAATTTGCATCGGATTCAAGCCTAAGAATTCTAAAAACTTCCAAATTCCGCTTTCGATCAAAAAGTCTATCAAACCACGTCCGAATGACCTGAAATTTTGCACACACATCCCAAATGACACCACGGACCTACTTCAACTTCCGGA